CCCCCTTTAGCACTCGAGTTAGTGAAGTACTCTTGTAGTAAGCGGTCATAAAGTTTGTTTCATGTTATGTTGATGAAAAGTAATCTGGTTTACTATATTTATAGTGTTTTGGTTATGTTTCAGTTGATCGGAGTGCACATAGTGTGTGTGTGCGGTGCGAGCGAGACGTGCGCGTTAGTGGTGGGGGGCGCGCGGGCGTGTGCGCGCGGCTCGCTGCCCCCCTCTCTTTGCACGCACATCACTCACGCCGCTGCGCACGCGCACGCACTCACATACAACCAAGTACGTTGTTACACTTAAAATAACAACTGTTACGTCTATACTAGCGGTTCCTCTGCGGCTTCATACACTTGAAATTATAAAAACTGTATTTTATTGTTTACATTTTGTAAAACTTTTAATTGTAAATGTCAAAATTCAAATTCTCAAATGACAAATAAAACCCTTGTTGTTTTGCCTGAGAATTTATAAGTAATCATGGCAACCTTGCTTCTTTGATGTTCACAGCATGTAGTTTTGTATATTTCTCGTATGACGGTGTTTTTTAATTTATTTTCCCCTTAAGCTTAAGCTTAATGAGCTTGGGAATATATAGACTAAAGCATGTCGTAAGTAAGGGCGTTTATTTTAAAAATGTGTTATTACTTACATCCTGCATAGCTAAGTAGCGTTTGGTTAAGCTTTATTATAAAAGTATAGATAACTGAAAATATTCGATGTTAGTCTTAGCATGTATGTATGTTGACAGTTAGGTAATCTCCTGAGAGAGTTGGGCGCCATCTGGTGGGAGACACGCACTGCACTAACTGAGGAAACCAGTATGTACGTGCCGTACGCGCCGCACGTCGCTGATCTACTGCAGGTGTTGCAGCAGGCTTTCACTGCCGCTGCTAAAGCGCTGGGACATGATATAGAAAAAGGTCAGTTATATAGAAAGGTCTCGTATAAATAAACATTTTTTGTATGTTTTAATCATGCTTCATATTTAATATTATAAATGACTAGCTGTTCCCATACGACTTCATCCGCATAAAATTATAAAAAAATCATTTTATTGTTTACATGTGTCAAATTATCAATTGCAAATGTCAAAATGACATGACATAATGTCAAACCATGGCAACCTTGATTCCTTGATGTTGGCAGCAACTTATGATCTCTTTCCCACATTAGGGTTTTTGTCCAAAGTATTTACCCCCTTAGTTTAATGTCGTGAAAACATATAGCCTAAAGCCTGACGTAAGTGTAGGGCTTTTTATTAAAAACAGAATTATTCAAAAATATGCTGTAATCGGTGAGATCTTAGGCAACAAAAAAATGTGTGTTTACGCTTTATTATAATAGTATAGATCATAAATGCTATATGTTTGATGAATTTTTGTTACTATGTTTCTCCAAATGGCTTAACGCATTTCGATTTGTCACAGAAGTAAAATATAGTATGTAAGAACACATAAGTTTAATTCTATTTTTTTTATAATTACGCGCGTATCATAATGTAATTATTGATTAATAACGTAAATTCACATTCAAATAATCCTGTTGGTTGAAATAAATACGATTTTAATATATACTCACGCTTAACTATCCTTTTGTTTTTGTAACATATAACAGTGTCGTGGTTCTCGTGGTCTGTGTTGCGGGAGGCGTGGTCCCCGTGGGCGCAGCCCGGGGCCCCGCCCTCTCTGCTGCCTATACTCGCGGAGGACTCGCAAGCGCATACAGACATGCTGCAACGGTTCACAGAAACTTTAACACTTGTTATGGAAGATTGTCCTGGTTAGTAACTTTAGTGTAGCTTGGATAATAATAATAAGTTAACCGTGGGAGTCCGCATAAAAATGCCGGTTCACCCGTTGCAATACTACGACCACAAAGAAGACAGGCGTGAATTGGAAGCACATCCGCTTTTCATGTAATGAATGTGCGTGTCGAAACCCGGTTTTATTCCCTTATAAGAAAAGGATGGGAATGGAAAGTCGACTGACTTGAAAGATACACACAGAAGGGGAAATATGCTCTTTATGTAAGTCTCCTTCGTCGATAATGGGCAGGGAACGCATCTGCAATTGCGGATTTTCACATGCAGTGATCTCTTTTCGGATTGCCATGAGGTCATAAACCTCTTTGATTTTGCAATACTAACTTTGATAATGGGGTTTTTCTTGAAAAAAACTTTCTCACTATAGTCTTTTAGTTTAATATTAAAATATGAATAGTTAAAATAATTCTTGAAATAACATTTGCAGGTAGTAGTGAGTACGTGGTGCGGGAGGCGTGGCAGTGGGCGGTGCACACGTACCTGAGCGCGGGCGCGGCGACACAGTGTTGCCGCGTGGCGCTGTCCGCATTACTCGCCGCACTGGACCGCCTGCCGTGGCACACCACGCAATGGATGCACGCCGCATGCATGCCATTAGCTATGCAGGTATCATATAAATAATAATTTCTTGTCAATCTAGTAATATTTTCATGGTACATTCAGTTTATGGTTACTTAAAACTACCAAATAACGATAATTACAAGACATTTTCGGCTTTTGGACAGGTTTTAAGAAAAACTCAAAAACTACGCAATAGTTTTTAATTTAATAAGATAAAATAACGTAAATTGCATCATATCGCAGCGTAAGTAATTGAGAACCTTCTTTCTGAAGTCGATTAATAATATCTTTGTTATTGAATAAACACATCGAATCCACATGAAAGCATTATTAAGTAACTAGCTGCTCTCGTGCGATTTCATCCGCATGAAATTATGAAAATTTTGTTTTATTGTTTACATTTGTCAAATTATCAATAGCAAATGTCAAAATGACATGACATGACACGCCTTGGCAATCTTGCTTCCTTGATGTTGGCAGCAACTTCTGGTCTCTTTCCCACATTGGGGTTTTTATACAAAATATTTACCCCCTAAGTTTAATAAATTATTCAAAAATATGCTGTAATTGGTGACATCTTAGACAACAAAGAAGTGTGTGTTTATGCTTTATTATAATAGTATAGAAGTATAGATTATTAAACTACTCTGAGTTATTAATAGTTCCCTAAAGGAATAGGTATTTAATATATATTTATTGCACTCAGATGAGCCGCAGCAGCGACAGGGAGCTGGTGTCGTGGTGCAGCGCGCGCTGGCGGGGCGCGTGCGCCGCGAGCTGGCTGCGCGGCGTGCACCACGCACATCTCGCGCCGCACCTCGTCGCACTGCTCTCACTCTTCTGCTCACCCCATCTGCAGCTAGACGCACAGGTAGACAACTTTAAACTGTCGTGGTTTTTACAAGTATGATGTTCCATACAGGTTTCTTACCACGATAACTGTGACGAAATGTCGGGAGCTAAAACAATCCAATCGTGGTCCAATCAAACTAAATATAACCTACTAGTTTTTGCCCGGACTCCGTCTGCGTGGAAGTAAAAAAAAACTAAAGTATGTATTTCCACATTATCCTCTACATCTATACAAAATTTCATCGAAGTCTGTTCAGCCGTTTAAGCTACAAACTCTAACAAACATCTATCCATCTAAACTTTCGCATTTGAAATCCATTAATGGATAGCATTAATTGTTACTTGTTGTTTTTTATAAGTAATTTGTGTTTTATTATTAATTTTATGTATCTTAGGTGATGGAGGAGGCTACGCTGTTGCCATGGCAACGGCTGCCTGAGACCGCGCTGGATGCGGCCTTCGAACAGTTCTTTGTCGACTTCCACAATCCAGCCTTCCCGTATCACGAGACGTTGCAATTTAGGTAACCAAGGATAGACTTAGTTGTTATATTTATTGTAACTAATCTCAGTATGCACGTCTCCTAAATCAAAAATTTAATTAAATAAAAAGATATTAAAAAAACCGGATATTAGCCTGCCTATTTTTGGACAGCAATAGGATTTCTATATGTTTTTATTGCCATTATCGCCAGCTCTATATGTGTCCCCACAGATGGGCTTGGAGATTACCCTAATTTAAGGCGATTAGGCCATAGTTAATTAACTTTTTTAGTGTTAATTTAACTATAGTTTTAATTAATTTGCTCGGTGTTTAACTTAGGTTACTACTATGCGCGAGTCAGTTAATAATAGTGGACGAGTCAGCTGCGTGTCCGAGTGCGCAGTCACGTCGCGCCCGCAGCGTGTCGCAGTGCGTGCGCGCCGCCGCCGTGCCCGCGCTCGCACACCATGCGCGTGCGCACACCGACACTATGCTGCGAGTGCTTACAGACCTCGGTCAGTATCCGTTCACACTGTTCACACAAATCGATCACAGACCGTTCATAAAGACTGTTTACACAGACCGCTCACACAGACTATTCACGCATAACATTCATACAGACCTTTAACACAGACATTTCACACAGACTGTTCACGCAGAACGTTCTCACAGGCCGATCACATAGATCGCACACACAGACTTTTCACACAGACCGTTCACACAGACCTTTCACAGACCGTTCACACAGACCCTTTGCCGTCCGTAATCTATTTACACACACTGGATCACCGTACTATGAGCTAGATAACCTTATACAAAGAATATAAAAATGTGATATTCAACACATTACATAAATATGTCCATGGAGAATCAAAACATTGCCTACCGTGCGCCGAGCACTGTGGGCAATATTATATCGTAAAAATTGAGCTTTATGTATTGGACATAAGGTTTAATTTTCCTTACACTTAAGCTTCCTATCGATAAGAAAAGTGCAAAGTTAAATTAAAACTTATTTCAATTGTATAAAGTTAAAATTTATACGTGATAAAAAATCCGATCTTTCTGTTTATTCTAGCATCAAATCCTGCAATGCATTCCAGTGTATGTTCACATTATTCCAGTTATCCAACGGAGTTTTTTTTATTTATTTATTAAGATAAACCAACAGGACAAAATTATAACACATACATTTTTATACAATACAATAAGTAACGTGCAGATAATTTGTCCTAATTATAGGTTTACACGACATACATAGAAAAATAACATCAACAACAACAGTAACAACAGTAGACAGAATATGTTTTTATCTTTTTTTTTTTATTTTGTTGAACCCAAAAAGTAAAAATTAAATTTAAGTGATAACCTCACGTAGATATTTTTTAAATGTTGGCCATTTGTTGGAGAAGATGTCGATTATAGGCCTTTTATCTCTGGCTCTGGAATTCAGTTACTGGAAGAATAGAACATTATATGACTTCCTATACCTAATGTCTTATTTCCTTGAATATATTTTATATCTAGTTTATTTTAATTTGAATTTTTCTTTCTTACAGCATCACACATAGAGACGAGTGAGATAGAAGAATTATTGAGCCGAGCGCTTGTTATAATGTGTATAGAGCCTGCCGCCGCCGCCGCGTTACCGGTACGTAATACTTTTGCCCGCGACTTCTTTTGTTCTTCATTAAAAATAAAAGTAACTAGCCTATGTCTTCTACTAGGTTATAGTCTACATTTGTGACAAATTTCATTAAAATCGGTTTAGAAGTTCTGGAGATATGTAGTAACATACATATATTTAAACTTTCGCATATATAAAACTAGTCTGATGGTATTGTTAAGGTAAATATCAGATTTTTTATAAATAACCTTTAGCCTGTGACTTGCACAGAAGTAAATAATATCTAGTATTACATATCTTACTAATATTATAAATACAAAAATTTGGATGGATGGATGTTTGTAAGAGTTTGTAGCCTAAACTGCTCAACTGCTAATGTAGAGGATAGTCTGGAAGAACACGTACTTGCTTTTGTTTTTTTTTAATTCCACGCAGACGGAGTCGCGGGCGGAAACTAGTACCTTATATTAATCAATGATCACCTTTCTAACGCTAAAACATTTTTTGCATTCGATCAATAAATATCTTACCTTCCACTTAGATATAAATATCTGAACAATTATTTCTCTAAACTAAATCTTTTTTGTATTCAAGTGAAAGTGAAACCAGAAAGTGTTAAGAATGAATGTGGATGGCTACAAAGGAAGAGGAAGACCGAAAAAAGTATGGATGGGTTGTGTGAAAGAGGATATGCTTACGAAAGGAGTGGCTTCAGATATGACGGCTGATCTCTGTCAGCCAATATCAATGTAATATGTGTAGAACAGGGATGTAGCGAATATTCGCATCCGCATCCGCAAATGCGGAACTTCCGCATAGATTTGGACATCTGCATCCGCATTCGCATTAATCAGTGCGGATTTTCATGCGGATGCGAATATCATGCAAGTAGCCGGGCAGTGTTCCTAGCGAACAATTATTTAGGAACGCGGGTTTAATAAATGAACCTCTGCGTAATTGCCTTGAACCAGAAAAGGCGGCAATACTCCTGTATATTAAGTATAATGCTCCTATTTTTAATTTTAATTACTAATTTACCGATAGGTGTTTAATATATACTAATGTTTGATTAATTACAACAAAAATATTAATAATTAGGTTAGGTTTTAATTCTTCCTTAATATACTTTAACATCCGCATTCGCATCCGCGGATGTGAAAAAATCAACATCCGCAACATCCCTGTGGTGTAGAATTTTGGTTATATTGAAAATAAGTTAAGTAAAATAAAGTAGAAATTTACAAAAAATGGTGTTAATTTATTAATTAATCATGCAAATGAAATAATAATAACAAATTAGCTTGTATCACTAACCGACTTTTTTCTTACGTACACATTTATAAAAAGCTTTGTTCATTTAGTTTTAGAATGTCCAAACGATTGTAGCAAAGTTGATACCCGATTGTACCTTAGATTTTTTTTAAACTATAATAATTATTGAATGTGGGGGTGGGGGGGGGGCAAAATGAGGGGGGTTTTGTGAACTAGGGTATGAACATGTGTACCTGAAAGTATGCGTGTCGTGCCGCGTAGCGACGACTTGCAAATATCAACGTCTCTATGTATGGAAGAGCAGCACTGTGCCGACCCTCGGTAAGGGATAAGGGCAAGCTTGTGATGATTCAAGTGAAAGTGATCTTCAGTTACGTGTTAAAATTCCAATATAAATGTGTATTATCAGGTATGGCAGCAGTGGTTGGTGGGATGTGGTACGGCGCTGCGGCTGGCGGCGGCGAGCGCGGCGGCCACGCTCACTGCACTGGAGTACTTCGTGCCACTCGTTGACACTATCGCTAAAACACATATGACGCTATCAGGTGACTAACTGCGAATAATAGTGTTTTCTGCATTAAAACAGCTTATTTATTACCTAATTGTTCCCGTGCGGCTTCAACTGATTGATATTATGAAAACCTTTATTATTATTTTACTGTTTACATTTGTGAAAATTTCCACCATTAACTGCTATCTAAGTTATGTAATAAGAGGTGTAGTTTTGTTCTATAATGATAAAAAGACATGCATCTGCGCAGTTTTTGAAAAAAACTTGTCGGACAAAAGTTGGTGTGAAAAAAAATTACAGCTTGTCAAAGTTACAGAAACAAATTCTATTTTAAGAAAATTTTCAATGAATGTTTTATTTTGTTTTCGTGTGAGTTATTCCAAAAAAATGGGTTAACGGTACGAATGCCTAATTATTAGACTTGTTAAAGAAAAAAAATGACCTCTGTAAACATATTATTTTGGACGTATTGACAAATCTTAGCCGGAATTCTGATTTTTACGTTAATTTTAAAACTATAGAGAATCAGGGAATATAGCTATTGAGGTCCTCTAACTGCATAAAACCGTTGGTCCGTCAGTTAAGAATCACCCTGTATAATGTTTGAGTGCTGGCTAAAATTAATGGTGTATAGAGGATGGTGAGTGGAGCGCGGTGCGTTCGCGGCTGCGCGCGTGCGCGTGGGGCGCGAGCGCGGCGTGCGCGGCGGGCGCGCGGCGAGCCTGGCACGCGGCATACGCGCTGCTCCAGGACACGCCGGACACGCCGCACACGCCACACACTGACCTGCTGCGGGCACTCGCTGACTATAACATCACCCCGTATGTATCTAGTATACACTATTCTGATATAATATTGTTTTAGTAGCTTTCGCCCGCGACTTCTTACGGGTGAAAAAAATGTAACTTTGTGTTCTTCCAGACTAACCTTTATATCTACGTTAAACTCATTGAAATCTGTTTAGCAGTTTAGGTCTCAGTCTCACAAAAATGCATCAAAATCTTCACATTTGTAACATCAGTAAAATGATTATAATGCTATGACTGTTTAATGTGTCTCACCTCGTTGTATTTCTTTAAACGGGTTCAAAAAGAAGGAAGTTCTCAATTTTTTTGTATATTTTATAAATGACTAACGTGTGACATGTAAAGGATGAGTTTTATACATAAAATTACTATTAGTATTTTATTAATATTAAAAACGGAAAATAGATGGATGGATATTTGTTAATACGTATATCCAAATAAACTTTTCTCTCTCT